ACAGCCTGGCTCACCGCTACCTGCTCCTTCTCCTTACACTGAGCAGACAGGTAGTCTTGCTGAGCGTCGTGAGCCTGCGTCGCGTCCAGTCTCGCCTGTTCGTCCTAGTCGTACCGGTCGTCGTGTTCCTCGTCCGCGTCAGCCGGCTGTCCCCGGCACACGCCTTGTAGCCCTGCGTCGGTCCCCTACTCCGGAGCGTACTCCTCTTCCGTCTCCCCCTGCGTCCTCTTTGCCTGTCGTCGCGGACCCTGAGTCTGACCGGTTTCGTGCTGAGCACCCTACTGTCACGCGTCTGCTAGCCACTGTTGTCACTGACCCGTCGTTTGAGTCTGCTGCTGCGTCTGCCTTAGTCGCTGAGCTTGTTGACTTTGCTGCTGCCTGTCGTCTAGACTACGCTGCTAGTCTTGTTGCTGAGTCTGAGTCTGTCTGTCCTCCGTCCGTCGGGGGTGAGTGTGCCCTTGGCACGGACGTCCTTGAGGACAGGCACGAGGACCTTGTGTCTCTTGCAGCCGCTGCGCCTCATCTCGTGGCCATGCTGCTTGCCTCTGAGGGAGACCCGGATGCTATAGACATCCCCACACCGCGCTCTTACGCTGAGGCGATCGCGGGTCCCTACTCCTCTCAGTGGCAGGCAGCCATGGACGCAGAGATGGCATCCTAGAAGTCCACAGGCACTTACGTCGATGAGGTTCCCCCTCCCGGGGCGAACATCGTCGATGGCATGTGGATTTTCAGGGTGAAGCGGCCGCCAGGTTCTCCGCCTGTCTTCAAGGCGCGTTACGTTGCTCGAGGCTTCAGTCAGCAAGAGGGAGTTGACTTCTTCCAGACCTTCTCTCCTACCCCGAAGATGACTACTCTTCGGGTGCTGCTGCACGTTGCCGCACAACATGACTACGAGCTTCACTCCCTTGACTTCAGCACAGCTTTCCTACAGGGCAGCCTGCACGAGGAGATCTGGCTGCGCCGCCCACCTGGCTTCACTGGGACGTTCCCTCCTGGTACCCAGTGGAGCCTCCGCCGGCCAGTCTACGGTCTCCGCCAGGCACCCCGTGAGTGGCACGACACACTGAGGACTACCCTTGCGGCTCTTGGGTTTGCGCCTTCGACTGCTGACCCTTCACTGTTTCTACGCACCGACACTTCGCTGCCGCCGTTCTATATCCTCGTGTACGTCGACGACTTGGTCTTTGCTACTGCTGACACTGAGGCCCTCGCCCTGGTGAAGTCCGAGCTGCAGAAGAGACACACGTGCACAGACCTGGGTGAGCTGCGCAACTACCTTGGCTTGCAGATCACCCGGGACCGAGCACGCCGCACCATCACACTGACTCAGTCACACATGGTGCAGCAGGTCCTTCAGCGCTTCGGCTTCACCTGGTCCTCAGCACAGGCCACTCCTCTGGCTATAGGTCACTCGCTCTCAGCTCTGCCTTCGGATGAGTCCGTAGAGCCGAGTGGTCCTTACCCAGAGCTAGTGGGCTGCCTCATGTACCTGATGACTTGCACTCGTCCTGACCTTGCGTACCCTCTTGGCCTTCTGGCTCGCTACGTGGCTCCTGGTCGGCACCGAAAGGTGCACTGGGATGCTGCGAAGAGGGTACTGCGCTACTTGTGCAGTACATCAGGCATGGGGCTCGTGCTTGGAGGACGGCGAGAGGTGGTCCTCACTGGGCACTCAGACGCTTCTTGGGCAGACGACCAGGCTACGCAGCGGTCGTCACAGGGTTACACTTTCAGCCTTGGCTCTGGTTCTGTTTCTTGGCGTTCTACTCGCTCGTCTTCTGTTCTCAGCTCCAGTTGTGAGGCTGAGATCTACGCCACCGCCATGGCTGCTCAGGAGTTACGCTGGCTCACCTACCTGCTGACCGACCTAGGAGAGCGGCCTCGTTCTCCTCCAGTGCTGTACGTCGACAACAAGGCTGCTATTGCCTTGTGTGAGGAGCACAGACTGGAGCACAGAACGAAGCACATCGCTCTGCGGTACTTTCTGGCTCGAGAGCTGCAGCAGCGTGGTCAGCTTCGTCTTGCACACGTGGCCACTAGGGCCAACACTGCTGATATATTCACCAAGGCACTTCCGTCTGGTGATCATCAGCGCTTTTGTACTTTGTTAGGCCTTGTGCCTACGTTTCCACACTTGCTGTAGTCTTTTGTGTGTACTGTGTTCTATATTTATACCTGCATGCTTGCTCTTGCTAGGTATTGATCACTGTACTGCTCTTGTTGCTTATATATATCTCTGCATGTGGACTGGCCTTGCGGCCCTTTGCTTGTGCTCAGAATGTGTGGTGACATTGAGATCCACCCTGAGCTTGCTTTGCGTCTCTTGACTGGTCGTGTGACCCCTTGTTCTCCCCCACTTTGCCTATGGGGGTGTGTCAAACATGTATGCTGCATATTGTCTAGGCTGTAGTGGGGTAGCCCATATGGGGTACAACCAAATTAGGGTTTCCTACTTGTACTCCTGCATGCTGTTAGTTTCTCATTCCTGCTGCCAGATTCTAACATTACCTACTGACCGACTTGGGAGAGCGGCCTAGTTCTGTACGTAGACAACAAGGCCGCTATTGCCTTGTGTCAGGAGCACAGAGTGGAGCACAGAACGAAGCACATCGCTTTGCGTTACTTCCTTGTTCGAGAGTTGCAGCAGCGTGGTCAGCTTTGTATTGCTCACGTGACCACTCGGGCCAACACTGCTGATATATTCACCAAGGCACTTCCGTCTGGTGATCTATAGGCACTCAGCGTCTTTGCACTGCTTTAGGCCTCATGCCTACATTTGCGCGCTTGCTTACTGTGCGACTTTGCTTGTACTGTGATATATATATATATAAGGGCATGTTGCTACGGCCTCATATCAGGGCAACCTCATATCACGATTGTAAAAACTCGAGATTTTCGTTGTGAAACTCAACTTTAGGACTTCTACTGCGCGATAAAACAAATGCACTCGAAACCATTCAGGCAATCTACGTGCACGGATTTGTGTGGCCGACACACTGTACCACGCGAAACACAGCTCTGCGTTGTCAGGCATTACCGTAGGGCAATTTGTGTGACTGACACTGTACACGCGAAATGCAGCAAACCACGCGCAATCTTTGCCGCGTGTCATGTCAGCCAAGTCAAGCAGTCTTGTTTGACTCAGAACGGAAGATTTTTGTTTTGTCAGGTTCAGGGATGCGATAATCACCCATCGTTTTTTTTCCGAACATCAAGCCAGGAAAGAGAAAATAAAACTCAGACGAAGCCCAGATTGAAGTGGTTTATGCGAGTCTAATACCGTAATCCCCCGCATAGTACACCCCCCAAAATAGAACACCCGTGGGTGTTCAATTGCGGTGGGTGTACTCAAAAATACCCCAGTTAGAACACCCCCATTTTTTCTGTAGTTTTGAGTACACCCCCCGTGACAATTCTATCGTTTCTTGTAACGAAAACTGAGGTTTTAACGGAGATTTCAGACAAAGAAGCGCGCACCACCCTTGAAACAATTGCGCAAGGTGAAGGGGCTGGCCCCAATTCGCCACTGCGCGATTGGTGACGAGCCCCCTGGTGTCAGAATGACGTGGCACGAAACCTACGCGCAGTGCGAAATCTGTTTCAGCTGGTCTCGATAGAGTTTAGGAAGCTGAATACAGAATACAGATAATTTGAAGTCATTTTGCATGCCATTACATAACACCCATGGGTGCAGGCTTACACCCCCCCCCATAATTGAACACCCCCCTAAAGGGGGGTATTTATCAGTACACCCTAGGGTGTACTATGCGGGGGATTACGGTATGAGGTTGGCCTAATATGAGGCCGTAGGAACTTGCCCTAACTGCATGCATACACTTGCTAGGTGGTGATCATTGTACTGTCTGATTTACTTTATGTAACTTTGCATGTGAACTGACATTGTGGCCATTTGTTTGTGCTCAGAATGTGTGGTGACGTCGTGATCCACCCTGAGCTTGCTTTGCTTTTCTTGTCTGGTCTTGTTGTGACCACTGGTTCTCCCCCACGTTGCCTATGGGAAAGTGTCAAACTACAATGATGCTTGTTGTGTGTAGGCTATAGTGGGGTAGCCCATAAGGGGTGCAAGCCAACTTAGGGTTAGGCCGTGTCTGAGTCAAGAACACTGTTCATGTCATTCGGCAACCACGCATGACCCGAACTGTGTAAAACACCACATCATGTCAAGGGAACCACTATGACGGAGGGGGGGAAACTGTCGATTCGCCCAGATCGCACATTTGTTTTAGCGTCGCAACCAATGGCGGAAGTCCAAAACAATTTCGCCACGTCGAAACCATGACATTTTGCACATGCACATTGCCCCAAAGCTGGGGCCGTGCGCGACTCGGCAACCCACATTGGGTCATGCGTGTTTCCCGGATGACAAGTACAGTGTTTGGAACAGTACTCCCGAACTGGGACACACCCTTAGTGTGTGCCTCACCTGCTCATCTGTGCCCCTGGCAGTCTGTCTACCAGTCATTCGACCTAACCCGGGTGTCCATACCTTGTGCTCAGGGAACTACACTCACTTGTATATATTCAGTGGTATATATTCCTCTATTACCTAGTCAAACACAGCTATACATATGAGTCGTCACAAAAATGAGGCTGGCCAACACACCTAGAGGAATCAAATGAATGAATCGCTTATGGTACAGGTAAGGAGCCTCAGCAGAGGGATCGGCACTTGACCAGCTGTGGTGCCGTGCATGCAGCATGGCAGCAGGGGGCGGTGAGATCAGCACTTGTGCCCCATTCGGCCCCGTGTGTGCAGCATAACATGGCAGCAGGGGGCGGTGAGATCAGCACTTGTGCCCCATTCGGCCCCGTGTGTGCAGCATAACATGGCAGCAGGGGGCGGTGAGATCAGCACTTGTGCCCCATTCGGCCCCGTGTGTGCAGCATAACATGGCAGCAGGGGGCGGTGAGGTCAGCACTTGTGCCCCATTCGGCCCCGTGTGTGCAGCATAACATGGCAGCAGGGGGCGGTGAGATCAGATGGCGCAGGCAACGGCCTTGACGAGGGCCACGTTGCCCGATGTGGTGCTGCATGCACACAGCAACGAGGGGGGCACGGCACACCAGTGAGTGGCAAGCGTTGAGAGAGAGGGAGGGCAATGGAGAACCACACGAAAAGGACAGGATAGCTGCTGCTAGAAAGAATGACACAGCGGGGGGCAAGGGGCAGGGGGCAGGGCATGGGGTGGGGGGGGCGGGGCACTGACGCGAAGTTGGTGACATCGCCAGCGGGGCGGTAATAGCCGGTGGCGGAGCCGTAGCAGGAGGCGCTGGTCCAGAACCACAGCAGCCCGCACGACTGCTTGGGTGCCCCCGTGCTGTCGGGCACGTTCCACAGCACGCGCAGCGACGCCGCGGCGATGCCGCCGGGGATGTCGACGCAGCTGCCGCGCGACGAGTTGGCGGGCAGCCCCGTGCGCACGAGCGTGGGGCCCAGCGCGGGGGCAGTGGAGGTGTAGGAGGCGTTGTTGTAGATGGCCAGGCTCGTGGCCGCCACGGCTGTGGGTGTGCCCTGCACACACACGTTGCTGCTCATGTACCACCCCGTGGGGCACTGGCAGAACGGGTACCCACTCCCGTCCACCGGTCGCCTGCGCCGGACACACCGCTCCCACACACGCCGGCGCTGCAAGCAATAGGGAGGGCATGACAAAGGGGCGAGGGAGGGAAGGTGTGAGAGGTGTGGTGTGAGGAAGGAGGGCCGTGGGGCAAAGGATCAGAAGGTAAGAGAGACGAAGGAAGCGGAGTGGGCAGGCAGGGGAGAGGGGAGTGAAGAGGGCCACTGAGGGACACAAGGGAGAGGGAGGAGGAGCACTCACGGACACAGGTGTCTGCACTGATGGGCACGAGGCCGGTGGGGCAGGCGCACTGGGCGGAGCCGGAGGAGCCGTCACACACGAGGTTGCCGGGGCACGTGGTACTGCCACTGCTGCAGGGGTCGGGCTGGCACGTGGCGTTGTTCACCAGCACCTGCCCCGCCCCACACACACACACCGCCTGCCCGTACCGCACCGTGCACGTCGCTGTGGACGGACATGCCACCCGGTAGCACGGGTCTTGCACTGCCGAAAGGGAAGCAGAGAGATGGGGAAGAGTTGAAGGGAGAGGTGGAGCAGGATGGAAGCAGAGTTAGATCAAGGGTGCAGATGGGCGCGAGTGAAGGAATAGGTGGGTGGTGGGAAGAGAAGGTGAGGAGGCAGACAGGGGCGTGGAGCACTCACCATAGGGCAGCTGCCCGCCATAGTTGCCGGGCGGGTAGTAGTGGCACGCCCACACATCTGCACTCGTGCCACACGATGCCTTGGCACAGCCCACGGTGCGCGTGTTGTTCCAAATGACCTGTGGGGAGACGAGGCAGGGAGCACATGGGCAATGAGGCACAGCGCATGGTGCACCACACACCGTGCCTCTGCAAGCAGCTCGCCTCACCAGCACCGTCTCTCGCTCTCGCCCTCCCTCGAATCCTCTTCCCCATGGTGCTGACCTGCGTGTAGTGACCACAGTCAGCCCAGTTGCCGGTGCTGCAGCCCCCCGAGAAGACGGCGTACGAGTAGAGGTCGCCCTCGCCCACCCACCAGCTCACGGCCGCCGCATCTGAGGCCCACCCCGAGGGGCTGGCGCCCGACAGGTTCTGCCCCTCGCCGCTGTTGCCGCCGTGTGACAGCCCGCAGTTGTACGTGCTGTTGGTCAGCGCTGTTGCCCACGCCTGCGCCCTCGTTGCCACTGGGAGATGCAAAGGGGGGGTGGTGGGATGGGGGGAGCGGTAGGGAAGGGGTGGGCGGGGGAAATGAGGAAGAGAGAAGAATGAGGAACGCAGGGGTTGGAGAAAGGAGTGAGAAAGGAGGGGCGCATGCAGTCCGTGGCGAGGGGGCATGACAAGACGAGAGCCTAGAGCACAGCACGTTGGTTGAGAGGCAGGCGCTCAAGGAAGGAATGGCGACATGGGCACTCACGAGTGGCGTTCCACACGAGGGGAATGGCGCCCACCGCCGCCCTGGCGGCGTTGTGATTGTCGAGATAGTTGGAAAAGGGCAGCGTGGCTGTGAGCAGGTGACGCACGGAGGGAAGGAGGCACGGAGGGAGTTGCGTGAGGGAGGGAGGGCGTCGGGCAGAGGGGAGCGAGGGGCAAGGGGAGAGAGCAACCAAGGGATGGACGAATGCAGTCGCACACAGCAGGCAGGAGGGCAGCAGGGGGACAGGAGGGGAGGAGGGCAGGGGGCAGGGGGGGCAGCACGGACCGTTGGTGCACTTGTTGTCGATGAGGCGCGTGTAGGGCGGAGGGCACGTGCACACGGGCGCGCCAAGCAGGAAGGTGCACCTAGAGACGTCGGGACACTTCACCCCGTAGCACAGGTCTGTGCGCACGAGTCGTGGGGGGAGAGGGGGAAGAGGGGGGGGGGGGAAGAAGGTGGAGGAAGCAGTGAGCATGAGGGGACATGAGGGGACATGAGGGGCAGCACTGACCCTTGAGGCATGAGGGGACATGAGGGGCAGCACTGACCCTTGGGGCATGAGGGGACATGAGGGGCAGCACTGACCCTTGGGGCATGAGGGGACATGAGGGGCAGCACTGACCCTTGGGGCATGAGGGGACATGAGGGGCAGCACTGACCCTTGGGGCATGAGGGGACATGAGGGGCGGCACTAACCCTTGGGGCATGAGGGGACATGAGGGGCGGCACTAACCCTTGGGGCATGAGGGGACATGAGGGGCGGCACTAACCCTTGGGGCATGAGGGGACATGAGGGGCGGCACTAACCCTTGGGGCAGTCACACTTGGCGACGCCATTGGCGGAGGAGCACGTGCAGTTGGCCGGGCATGTCACCAACGAGCAGGGCGCGGCCGCTGGTGGGAGGGGAAGGGGAAGGGGGGAGGGGGGGAAGAAGGGAAAGGAAGGAAGAGGGCAGGGGGTTGAGGAGTGGAGGATGGGAGGGGAGCGGTGCGGTGCACGCGGCAGTGAAATGGTGCGTTGGCGAGTGAGGCAGTGGCGGGTGGGAGAGGGCGAAGCAACAAGCGAGGAGCAGAGGTGGAGAGGCAGGGGAAGGAGAGGACAAGAGGGACGGGTGGGTGCGGACGGGCTTGCGGGAGGGCCCAGAGGGGCAACAAGGGCAACAAGGGGAAAGGGGAAGGGCGGGAGAGCGTACGCTGGCAGGCGCCGCTGACCATGGTGTAGCCCACGGCGCACACACACGTGGCCACGCCATTCGCGCTGCTGCACGTGGCCTTGGCGGGACACGTGGTGGTTGTGCAGGGGTCGGTGATTGCTGCATGCACCATCAGGGGCCAGGGGGAGAGGGGGGAATGGGGAAGAAGGGGGGGAGGGAGGGGATGAGAGAAGGCAGGTGAAGGCTCGATGTGCATGTGCGTGCATGCAGGTATAAGCGAGATGCATGCATTCGTGGGCGTGGGGAGCGAGAAGGGAGGTGACTCACCAACGCACTGGCCGTCGGACATCTGGTAGCCCGCGGAGCACGTGCACGTGGCGACGCCATTGACGTTGGAGCATGCTGAGTTGGCGGGACAGGTGTACCCCGTGCACGGGTTGGGCACTGGCGTTTGAAAGAGTGGAAATACGAAGCAAACAAGTACAGGGCGAATAAGCGGAGAATGGGGGAAGGCGGGGCGAATGGTCGAGACGAGAAAGGAAGTAAAGAGGAGAGATTCAGTGTGTGCGTGTGTAAGATAACAGAAGGGCAGGAGGAGGGAGCAGGAGATGCAGAGATTTACAAAGTGAGAGTGAGGAGAGTTTGACTCACCCACGCACTGGCCGTTGACCATCTGGTAACCGGTATCGCACGTGCACGTGGCGACGCCGTTGACGTTGGAGCATGCTGAGTTGGCAGGACAGGTGTACCCCGTGCACGGGTTGGGCACTGGTGTTATGTTTGGGGGAACGAGCAAGGGAATCGGCAAACAATCACACTGGTCAGGGGCAAAGAGAAATGGGAGGTGAGGAGGGGAAAACGGTGGAGGATGGGGGAGGGAGTGGAGAGGAGAAGAGGTGGAGAGATTTGGGAATAGATAAATGGAAAGCAGAGATTGGAGGATTGGTGGGGTGGAGGTGAGGTGGGAATTCAGAGTGAGAGGGAAGCTGACTCACCCACGCACTGGCCGTTGACCATCTGGTAACCGGTATTGCACGTGCACGTGGCAATGCCATTGACGTTGGAGCATTCTGCGTTGGCGGGGCATGTGAATCCCGCGCATGGGTCGGACGCTGGTAGGAGAGCAGCAGCGGGAGACAGGGCAGCGACAAGCACGGAGGCAGAGATGAGAGAAAGGGGGAGCGGAACAGCAGAGGTACGGAGTGGAAAACAACCAAGGCAAGAGCAAGAAAGCAGCAGGTGCAGCGAGGGGGGAAGGAGGGCAGGGGAAAGGTGACTCACCTATGCAGGCGCCGTTGACCGGGTCAAAGCCGGGCAGGCATGTGCAGGTGGCGGCGCCGTTGACGACGGTGCAGTTGGCGTTGGCCTGACACGTGGTGCTCGCGCATGGGTCCGATGGGGGCAGCGCTGCTCGCACCGCCATGCCGGGGACAGGGTGGGGGGGGAGGGGAAGGGAAGAGGGTGAGGCCGTGGGGGAAGGTGCAGTGACGGCGGGAGAGATGCTGGCAGGAAAGCGAGGAAAGAAAGATGGGGAGGGAAGGAAACAACAGCAGCAGGAGATAAGGCAGGGGGCAGGGGGGCATACCGGCGCACTCGCCGTTGACCATCTGGAAGCCCGCAGTGCACGTGCACGTGGCCACGCCGTTGACGTTGCTGCACATCGAGTTGAGCGGACAGTTGGCCGTCGCACAGGGGTCCGGCACTGCGTGGCGATACAGGGGGCGGGGGAGCGAGAGAGCGGAGAAGAGGAGAGGGGGGAGTGGGCAGGGAGGAGCAGCGGCAGGGAGGAGCAGCGGCAGGGGCAGGCGGGAGACAGACAACCGACGGGACGGTGTAAGATGGACGGGAGAGCGGAGAAAAAGGTGATGGAATCGCGACGCTCGCTGCACCCGCCATTGAACGCGCAGCAAGGCACCATCGACGGCAACACTCACCGACGCACTGGCCGTTGACCATCTGGTAACCAGTGTTGCATGTGCACGTGGCGACGCCATTGACGTTGGAGCATGTTGAGTTGGCGGGACACGTATACCCCGTGCACGGGTTGGGCACTGGTGTGGGGAGGGGAGGGCAAAGGAATTGGCGAAAAATGTCTCAGCGAGAGGCAAGGGAGGAATTGGAGGTGAGAAGGAAAGAGTGGGCGAAGGAGAGAGAATGGAAGAGGGGGGGAGGGAGCGGAGAGGAGTTGTACTGGGAGTGGTAAAGAGTAAAGTGAAAAGAAAAGAAAGGGAGGAGAGGAAGGGTGGGGGGGGGGGGGGGGGGGGGGGGGGAGGATTGGAGAGAGGAGTTGACTCACCGACGCACTGGCCGTTGACCATTTGGTAACCAGTGTTGCACGTGCACGTGGCGACGCCATTGACGTTGGAGCATGCTGAGTTGGCGGGACAGGTGTACCCCGCGCAAGGGTCAGGCACTGGTGTTTGGGAGGCGAGGGAAGGGCAAGGGAACAAGCGGGAAGAAACGATTTTGCGAGATGCAAGAGAGAAACCGGAGGTGAGGAGGAGAGCGGGGGAAGGAGACATGGCCGAGGCAGGGAGTTGAGAGTGGAGGAGGTGGAGAGAGTTGGGCATAGGTAGATGCAACCAAGGAGAGAGAGGGGAGGGGGGTGGGCGAGCAGAAAATGGGATTGATACTATCTGGTTTAGTAAGCAAGATCGAAGGAAGTTAACTCACCCACGCACTGGCCGTTGACCATCTGGTAGCCGGTATTACATGTGCACGTGGCAACACCATTGACGTTGGAGCATGCTGCGTTGGTGGGACAGGTGTACCCTGCGCAAGGGTCGGGCGCTGGTGGGAGCAGAAGGGGGAGAAGGGACAGAAAGGGGATGGGGAGAAGGCGGAGAAAAGAGTGAGGACGAGGATTACAGGGCGCCCACGCTGCATTGCACCGCATTGCCCGTTGACCATGACGCTGACTCACCAACGCATTGCCGACCATGACGCTGACTCACCAACGCATTGCCCGTTGACCATGTTAAACCCAGCGTTGCACGTGCACACGGCGGCACCGTTGACGACGGAGCACGAGGCGTTGGCCGGGCAGGTCTTGGTGGCGCAGGGGTACGTGTTGGTGGCGATGGCGGCCTGGCACGAGATAGACCTGCCCGTCGCGATTATGCCGCTCGTGGACCTGCACGCGGTCACCGCAGTCAACGCAGCCAGAGTCAGTTAACGCGGTCAACGGCAAGCATGGAAGCGGTCGAAAGAGAGTCAACGGTAGGAATGCGAGTGCACGCGGAACGGCGAGCGGGCAACGGCGCGCGGGCGGGTGGAATGGAGGGGCGGGGTGGGGAGCGGCTCACTTGATGCTGGTGGTGGAGTAGGTGTAGGTGTTGGGGTTGACGGCGGTCCAGCCGCCGGGGATCTGGTAACCCGACCCCGAGCAGCAGCAGTTGGGTTTGTCCCAGAAGAAGAGCTTGCCGCACACCAGGTGGTCCGCCACGCCGTCGTTCACGTTCCACATGATGCGAAACGAGCCCACCGTCCCGTTGAACGCCGCTGGCAGGTTCACGCACGCGCTCGTGTTCGGCGCCGCGCCGCGCAGCACGGCGGGCGCGAGGGTGGAGGGCGCGTTGACGTAATTGCCCTTGTTGTAGATCACGACGTTGGTGCCGACCTCCGCCCAGCTGGCGGTCGGCGCGCACACGCCGTTGATGATGGCCTGTCCCGCCGCGCACTTGCAGAACGGGTAGCCGCTGCCGTCCACCACGCAAGACGCGCCCGCCGGACACACCACGCCCGCGGGGCACGACGCTGAGAAGGCAAGGGAAAAGGGGAGGGGGAGCACGGGCGCGAGTTAACGACATTGGCTGTTTCGAAGAGTTCCACCCGTATAATTCGCATAGATAATGCCGCGCGAAGGACGTCCGCACTGACCTTGCAGCTCACGACGGCTACTCGCCGCGGCGGTGAGGTGATGCGAAGCTAGTAGACATGTGTGCAGCAGAAGCAGAAACGCGACGCGCTTCATTCTCTCAGTCCGGTCGAGTGCAATGCGTTGGTGGTGCGATGTGCGCTTGGAGCAGCTGGTCGAAGAAGCGAAGCAGGCAGGACTGGGAGAAGTAGTTGGTTTGGAGATGTGGGATGTGATCTTGCGGGATGACCGTACGAATAGCTGAAGCTCTCTCTTTCAATTTACAAATGGGAGGGGAAGGAGTACATTTGTAGCTGTTTGACATGCGTACTGTAGTTCGTTGCAGAGTAGGGTGATATTGCGTGACATTCCCCCCCCCACTTGGACGTCTTGTGTGCATTTCGACAGGGTGTGTGGATAGGAGCAAGGGGTGTGAGCTTCCCACGTACACGTACAGTAACACTGCCCGTTCTATGCTAACGGCCAGGTCAGACCAACAGACGGTTCCGTTTCTTTTCGCCTGTACTCGAGGTTGTTGGATCTGTGCTCTGCCCTGCGCAGCGCGTACCCTTAGCTGAGCGTGCGTGACTTGTGGTTTCTCAATTCCGATCAGGGCCAAATGCTGCTGCCTTCGTGTCGGGGACGGGTTGGAGGCAGTGTCTGCTGCATGAATTTCTGGTACTGTACTGTAAGCTGTGCTGTACCTCAACCAGTTTTCCAAACATACCAGACATTTTGTGTATCCTCTCCGCAACAGCGCCTCTTCTTGCAAGGAACTCAGGGAGTGGACAGCTGACACAGATTTGTTCGCCAGGTCTGGAGAACTAGTCACCCTTGAAGTCGACAGATTAGGGGTACATCGTTGACACGTGCTGTCGCGGAAGGAAGTGTATAACCCAAATTCGTCACCAGACTCCTTTCGCCACCACCAGACCCTCTTCGCCAACCGATGTGATCCACTCCACACACACCACATGCACGAATTTAATGCCGATTCGTCAGCATGTTGCACGTAACGTGCTAGACCAGTAACGCTTTCTGCACAGTACAGTACTGTAGGACGTAAATGGCGGCGCAGTGAATGTTGCACTACGGCTCAGGGTGGTTGTTCCTGGCTTGTTTTGTGTTTGCCCCGAAATTAACGAAGGGCCATTTCAAATGCACTAGTTCTTGATAGATTGAGACAGAAACTTTCTAATATAATTGAATACCTAATGTTCTACAGATTGTGCTTAATTTTATCATCAATGCCAGTACACACTCATACAAGCTTTGCATTCAAGTCTACACATCCAATAACGAATGTCAAGAATGCCGGAGAAGTGCTTGGTGAGGGGAACCCAGCAGGGCATACAGTGCTTGACAGCCGTGATGGGGATGGTGCTTGTGCTGATGGTCAGAAGCTATGGCGGGATGTGATGGTAACTAGTACCTTGAATGCAGGCGCCGTTGACGAGGGAGGAACAAGCAGGGCAGGCGCAGAAGGGGATGCGGTCTTTGGTGGCCGTGCAGCGAGACGTGGAGGGGCACTTCACCCCCACACACACCGGCGCTGCTGAGGAAGAAGAGGCGTGAGGAGGGGTGTGGATGGGTGAGGAGGGCTGACGACGGCATATAATGAGTGAGGATGGGTGAAGGAGGGGGACGCACAATGAAGCAGGAAGCAGCAGCAGCAGTAGAGTGTGGGCGGGACAGCACAATCACCCAGGCACGTGTTGGGGGCAACTCACCCAGGCACGTGTTGGGGGCAACGAGCAACGTCCCCTTGGGGCACACTCACTGAGCCGTGCCTGTGCTGCCGTCACACACCAGGTCGCCTGCTGGACAGGTCACCCCAATGCACGGGTGTGTGCGAGGGAGGGGGGTGTGGGGGGGAGGTAGAAAGAGTGGGAAAGGAAGGAAGGAGGGAAGGCGCACGACCGACGTGAGGATGCTCCAGGCCCCATGGGGTGGATGGCGAGGGAGTCATGGTGGGACGGGCGATAGAAAGACATAAGGCAGAGGAGGTGGACACATGCGATGGACACATGCGATGGACACATGCGATGGACACATGCGATGGACACATGAAATGGATACATGGGAGGTGCATGATATGAGATGTTGGGGGCAGGTGCGCACCTGGTAGGCACTGCGAGCTGTTGACGAGCGCCTGACCCGCTCCACACACACACACGGGGTTGCCGTCCACTGCTGAGCACGTGGCGGTGGACCGACACTGCACCCGGAAGCAGGGGTCTTGCACTGCCCGGGAGGTGACAGTGGGGGTCGGGTCGGGTGGAGAAGGGAGGTGACACAGGGGGGTTTGCACAGATAGGCTGAAGATACAGAGGACTGGAGCATCACGGCACCGCACAGCACAGCACAACAGCGCTGCCACCACCAGCACAAGGCAGCCGACGCTGTCACCACCAGCACAAGACAGCCGACGCTGTCACCACCAGCACAAGGCAGCCGACGCTGACCAAATGAAAGCCGCGTGCATAGATGAAGGCATGGGGCTTGCGGGGCTTGAGGGGCAGGGCGCTCACCATAAGGCCACTGGCCGCCCCAGTTGCCTGGCGAGTAGTAGTGGCACGCCCACACGTCCGCAGTGGTGCCGCACGATGCCTTGGCACACCCCAGCTTGCGCGTGTCGTTCCAAATGACCTGCGTGTAGTGCCCACACTTGGCCCAGTTTCCGCCCTGGCAGCCGTTGGGGAAGACGGCCACTGAGTACCACTGCCCCTCGTTCACCCACCACCCCGATGCGTCTGCGCCCGTCTTCACCCCCCCGGGGGTGGCGCCTGCAAGGTTCTGCCCCTCGCCGTCATGCCCGCCGTGCACGAGCGTGCAGTTGTACGACGTGTTGGTCAGCGCTGTCGCCCACGCCTGCGTGTGCACCGCCACTGGGGGGAAAGGCAGAGGGGGAAGTGAGGAGCGGGAGAGGAGGGGCGATGCATGGTGGGGTGATGACGTGCATGACATGTGCATGGCATGTACTGACATGTGCACGGCATGTGCATTGCCTGTCAGGCCAAGAGGCAGTCACAGGAGAGGAGAGCGCGATGATGCATGCCGGCATGCACTCATGCATCGCTCTCCTGTCCCTCCCACACAGGCAGCACAGGTGGTATCAAGCATGGGGGGTCAGGCTGACCATGGGTCCATGGGACGGGACTTTTGAGACGTTTCAAATAAAGTATCAAGCATGTCGAGGCAGTCTGGCAATAAGGTAGGATGGCCCAGTCCAACTCAACCCATGGAACGATGGAAGAAAGAAGCTCACGTACTCTCACTTACATGTGTCGTCCCACATGAGTGGCACTCACATGTGTCGTCCCACACGAGTGGCACGGCCCCCACAGCAGCGCGGGCGTTGTTGTGCACATCAAGGTATTCGGAGTTGGGGAGGTCGACCGAGGAGCATACGTTGTCGATGAGACGTGCGAATGGTGCGGGGCACTGGCACACCGCTGTACCGCCCTGCACCACACACGTGGACACGTCCGGACACTTGACGCCGTAGCATGCGTCTGAAAAAGGAGGGGGGTGTGGTGGGGGAGGGATGAGGAGGAGGGGTGCGAACGAGCACTTGGCACTGTTGCTGCTACCTGAGCAGGAGAACTGGCAATGTAGCAATCACCTGGGCAGGAGCGCATGACGATGATAAAATCACCTGAGCAGGAACACTCGCCTCTGTTGCAATCACCTGAGCAGGAACACTCGGCTCTGTTGCAATCACCTGGGCAGGAGCACCTGGCAATGCCAGCGGAAGAGGAGCAGGTGCAGTTGGTGGGGCAGGTGACGACCTTACATGTCCACCTCTGGTGTGGGGGGTGCATGGGCAAGGGCAGTGGGGAAACGGGGGGCGGGGGAGGGAGGGGAAGGAGCATCAAGGCACAGGAGCATTTGCTCACTTCTGATCTGAACCATGTGGGTAGGTGGGTACTGCTTACACCACTTGAGCTCGTGATGACCTAGCTTGTCAACCTCTCCCCTAATAAAACCTGGGAGTGCATAGACCAAACCTAGTTGACTTGGATAGAGGACGGAGAAATGGAAAGGCAGGATACGTACTAGGTATCTACAGCTGGGGGTTATACCTAGGGGACTCTCCTCCTTTTTACACAAGAATGGAAAACATAACAGACACTTCAGCAAACTCAGAATCAAATGCTGCAAGCTCAGTTGTTCATGATACGGTATGCCAGTATGGATATAAATCACAATTTACAATACATGGAAAGAATGGCGTCCATATCACAAAATTCTGGGTCGAAAGTCGTACGGTATTCTCAAGACTGCGCTGCTCTGAAGTCCGCAATTGCTGCTGTGCTATACAAGGCAGCACGGCTCGTCTCTTCCTCACGCTGAGCAGCTGATCGCCTGCAGCACCGCAACATCACCACTCGTGGTCCTGGAGAGCACACTCACAAGCAAACAACGGCAAACAGCAGTCAGCGGATCACACCATATAGGACAAGAACAGGGAGCAAGCACAAGGGAAGTGGGTGCAGAGGCAGAAGCAGAGGGAGCAGGCACTCACGCAAAGGAGGTGATGCCGCTGGCCGGTTTCCCCCAGCCCGTGGCGTGGCCATAGCAGTCAGTATCGTTCCACAACCACATGGTGCGGCACACCTGTCGCACACCCCCTGCCCCGTCAGGTGCGTCCCAGAGGATTTTGATCGACCCCACAGCCCCTGCGAAGGGTGCCGGGATGTTGATGCAGCCTGCAGGTGGCGAGGCGCCGGGCGTGGCGGCTCGGAGCACGGCGGGCGCGAGGGAGGCGGGTGAGTTGGTGAAGGCAGGCGCGTTGTAGAGCACCACGCTTGTTGTCACTGTGGCGGGGGCCGCTGTGGTGGGAGGAGAGGGAGAGGGGAAGAGGGAGAGGGAGGGGGGGATGGATGGAGAGAGGGAGGGAGGGAAGGAGAGGGCAACGAAGAGAAGGGCTTGGTGAGAGGAGGTGAGAAGGGCTAACCGTGCTGTGCTGGATAGCAGAGATTGGGACAGTGCAAGCGCATGTGGTAACAAGGGGACAAGAGAGTACCTTGAGTGCAGGTGCCGTCGACCAGAGAGTAGGAGGCTGGGCAGGCACACAAGGGGATGTTGTCGCTGGTGGCTCTGCAACGAGACGTGGAGGGGCACTCTATCCCCACGCATACCGGCGCTGCAGAGGGGTTACAAGGGGTTACGAGGGGCGAGAATGGGTGGACAGGTGTCAATGGGTGAGGAGGGTTGATGAGGGTTGATAACAAGTGCGGAGAAGATGTGAGAAGCGGTGAGAAGTGGTGAGAAGGGTTGAGGAGGGGCAAGGATGAACGCCAAGGTTGTGGATGGTGAAGGTGGGGGAGGCACAAGGAAGCTGGCAGCAGCAGCAGAGAGTGCGTGAGAGCAGCAGCAGCAGCAGACAGCACACACTCACCCAGGCACGTGTTGGAAGCACACACACTCACCCAGGCACGTGTTGGAAGCACACACACTCACCCAGGCACGTGTTGGAAGCACACACACTCACCCAGGCACGTGTTGGAAGCACACACACTCACCCAGGCACATGTTGGAAGCACACACACTCACCCAGGCACGTGTTGGAAGCACACACACTCACCCAGGCACGTGTTGGAAGCACACACACTCACCCAGGCACGTGTTGGAAGCACACACACTCACCCAGGCACATGTTGGAAGCACACACACTCACCCAGGCACGTGTTGGAAGCACACACACTCACCCAGGCACGTGTTGGAAGCTACGAGCAGCAGCCCTGGGGGACACACGCACTGCGCCGTGCCCGTGCTGCCGTCACACACCAGGTCGCCTGCTGGACAGGTCACTCCAATGCAGGGGTCTGGCAGGGGCAGTGGTGAAGGGGGGGAAAGGGAGGAGAGCAACAAGACGTGATGTGAAGGTCCATAGCGTGGGAGTGAAGGAGCAATGGCAGCAAGTGGGAGTGAAGGAGCAATGGCAGCAAGTGGGAGTGAAGGAGCAATGGCAGCAAGTGGGAGTGAAGGAGCAATGGCAGCAAGTGGGAGTGAAGGAGCAATGGCAGCAAGTGGGAGTGAAGGAGCAATGGCAGCAAGTGGGAGTGAAGGAGCAATGGCAGCAAGTGGGAGTGAAGGAGCAATGGCAGCAAGTGGGAGTGAAGGAGCAATGGCAGCAAGTGGGAGTGAAGGAGCAATGGCAGCAAGTGGGAGTGAAGGAGCAATGGCAGCAAGTGGGAGTGAAGGAGCAATGGCAGCAAGTGGGAGTGAAGGAGCAATGGCAGCAAGTGGGAGTGAAGGAGCAATGGCAGCAAGTGGGAGTGAAGGAGCAATGGCAGCAAGTGGGAGTGAAGGAGCAATGGCAGCAAGTGGGAGTGAAGGAGCAATGGCAGCAAGTGGGAGTGAAGGAGCAATGGCAGCAAGTGGGAGTGAAGGAGCAATGGCAGCAAGTGGGAGTGAAGGAGCAATGGCAGCAAGTGGGAGTGAAGGAGCAATGGCAGCAAGTGGGAGTGAAGGAGCAATGGCAGCAAGTGGGAGTGAAGGAGCAATGGCAGCAAGTGGGAGTGAAGGAGCAATGGCAGCAAGTGGGAGTGAAGGAGCAATGGCAGCAAGTGGGAGTGAAGGAGCAATGGCAGCAAGTGGGAGTGAAGGAGCAATGGCAGCAAGTGGGAGTGAAGGAGCAATGGCAGCAAGTGGGAGTGAAGGAGCAATGGCAGCAAGTGGGAGTGAAGGAGCAATGGCAGCAAGTGGGAGTGAAGAAGCAATGGCAGCAAGTGGGAGTGAAGGAGCAATGGCAGCAAGTGGGAGTGAAGGAGCAATGGCAGCAAGTGGGAGTGAAGGAGCAATGGCAGCAAGTGGGAGTGAAGGAGCAATGGCAGCAAGTGGGAGTGAAGGAGCAATGGCAGCAAGTGGGAGTGAAGGAGCAATTGTTGCAAAGCTAGAAGAGATACATTGAATAATGAGCCAAGAGGCCCTTTAGTACAAACAATGAGCAAGAGAGAGATGAAAGGGAAGCTTACCCTATTGGCCAATAAGTTGGCCAATGGGTGAGCTTGCTTGTGACCCAAGCAACCACAAATGTGTGTTGGTTGGGATTGGTTGAGCTAGGGACCAATCCCAACCAACCACAAAATGTGGTTGGAGGGTACACTAAACAACCCCCCAATTTATAAGTGTACTACAGATCTAATTCTAGCCTATGTATGTTGTACAAATTATGAAATTACAACACAACCCCCCAACATGCATAAGGCTAGAAGGCTAGAATCAAGAGGCGGGAGGCGACTTAGGAGGAGTGAGGCCAAGAAGACGAAGTAGGAAAGAGTGAGCGACATGAGGAAGAGCTTTTGTGAAGATGTCGGCAAGGTTGGCCGCCGAGTCAACCTTGTCGAGCCGAAGGTGCCCCGCCTGAACAAGATCGCGAATGAAGAAATGACGGAGCTCAATGTGCTTGGAACGCCCGTGAAACACGGCATCTTTGGTGAGGTGAATGGTACTGGCATTGTCACACCAAATGGTGGGACAGCGCTGGGGGGCACCAAGTTCCTCAAGGAGGAAGGTGAGCCAGCGGGCCTCTTGCGCAGCCATGGTGGCGGCATACAACTCCGCCTCGCAGGAGGAGAGGGCGACAGCCGAGGAGCGGGTGGAGCGCCAGCTGATAAGGCCGCTGCCAAGAGAGAAGCCATAGCCCTGGGAGGAGCGACGATCTGGCTGGGAATCAGCCCAGGAGGAGTCACTGTAGCCGCTGAGGGTAGGTGGGGAGGGGCCGCCGAGGGTAAGGACATAGTCCTTGGTGCCACGAAGGTACCGGAGGACACGCTTGGCGGCCTGCCAGTGCTCTTCCGTATGCTTGCCTGCGCCAACAAAACGAGCGAGGACGCTGATGGGGTAGGCAAGGTCAGGGCGAGTGGAGACCATGGCGTACATGAGGGAGCCGATGAGCTCGGGATAAGGATGGGAGGAGGCTGAGGGGGAGGTGGGTGGAGAGAGGTGGTGCCCGACAGAAAGAGGAGTAGGTTGGGCGCCGCCGCGGACCATGTCAAACCGCTCCAAGACCTGCTGCAAGTAATGACCCTGGGAGAGAGAGATGGTGCGGGCGGAGCGATCGCGGGTGATTGTCATGCCCAGGTAATGCTGCAATTCGCCCAAGTCCTTGCACTTGAGACGGCTGCCCAACTCAGCCTTAACACGCTCCAACTCGCTGAGGTCGGCAGTGAGTAGAATCATGTCATCGACATAGACAAGGATGTAGAAGGGGGAGGGGGAGGCGCGGAGGAAGAGGCTGGCGTCAGAACGGGAGGTGCGGAATCCAAGTTCAGCAAGGGTGGCGGCAAGCTTAGCATGCCACTCCCTCGGGGCCTGTCGGAGCCCATACACAGGGCGACGCAGCTGCCAGACAGAGTCCGCAGGGAAGGGAAGGTGAAAACCGGCAGGACGCTCCATGTAGATAAGCTCGCGGAGGACGCCTTGGAGGAAGGCGTTAGAGACGTCCATCGAGTGGATCTCCATATTGAGGCGAGCGGCGAGGTCGAGCACGGCGCGAACAGTAGCGGGCTTGGCAGTGGGGGAGAAGGTATCGAAGAAGTCAAAACCATACCGCTGCGTGAACCCCTTGGCGCAGTAACGAGCCTTGTAGACGGGCGGCTCCCCTGGCAGTTGTTTGACGCGAAACACCCACTTCCCCTTCACCACGTTCGTAGAGGAGGGAGGGCGAGGCACATCAACAAAGGAGGAGTTGGCGACAAAGGCCTCCAGCTCCTTGATAATGGCGGCGAGCCAGAGTGGGGCGTCGGGGCAAGCCATGGCCTCCTCATACGTGGTAGGGATGAAAACGGAGGGAGCAGAGGAGAATGCGAAGACAGGTGTCCCAGAAAGGTCGAAGGTGATGGGTAGAAGGGAAGGGTCACAGAGGTGGAGGTCAAGGAACTCCTCATGGGAGTCCTCAGAGAGGGAGGTGTGGAAGGAGCGGATGACCGTTGGTGCCGCTGGTGCTGCTGCACGTGCCGCTGCTGGTGCCGCTGCTGGTGCCGCTGCTGGTGCCGCTGCTGGTGCCGCTGCTGGTCCTGCTGCTGGTGCCGCTGCTGGTCCTGCTGCTGGTGCCGTTGTTGGTGACGCTGCTGGTGCCGCTGCTGGTGCCGCCGCTGGTCCTGCTGCTGGTGCCGCTGCTGGTCCTGCTGCTGGTGCCGCTGCTGGTCCTGCTGCTGGTGCCGCTGCTGGTCGTGCTGCTGGTGCTGCTGCTGGCGCCGCTGCTGGAGAGGTGGCGGCGGGGGCTGCTGCAGGGGGAGGTTGATGCAGAACAGCCTGGAAGAAGTGGTGAAGGAGAGGGGAGAGTGGGGGAGGGTAGAGGTAGAGAGGGTAACAGGGGGCGGTGCACCAAGGATACTGTCTTGTGACCTGGTATGGGGGTACCGGGTTAGTACAGTGCGGGGAGGGGGGGAAGGACGAGTCGGCAGCGAGGGAGGTGAAGGAGGGGCGGGAGGGGCACTAGGAGAGGAATGTGTGGGGGAGACGGGAGAGGACAGAGGTTCCGGGTCAAATATATCACCAGACAAGGGAGGGGCACCGTGGGACGAGGACGACGGTGGGGGAGGGGGAGGGAGGATGGGGGGAGGAGGAAGTAGAGGGGGAGGGGTGGTGTCAGACCAGACAAGGGGACGGGGAAGACGGGGGAGTGGGTCAGTGGATGGGGGAGAGGAGTAGTAAGGAGTGGACTCATCAAAGACCACATCCCTACTGCGGAATAGACGACCTGAGGGGGGATGGAGGAAAAGGTAGTCAGGTGAGGAGGAGTTATGACCAAGAAAGATGCAGGGAAGGGTACGAGGGGCAAGCTTTCCCATAGAACGGGAGCGGTCAGCGGGGTGAAGAAGGACATAAGCCTTTGAGCCCCAGACACGAAGAGATGAGACATCAGGCTTGTTGTTCGTCCACAGCTCAGTGGGGGTGGTGGATGGGAGAAGAGGGTGAGGGTAAAGGTTAGTAAGCAGGGCGGCATGAAGGAGGGCGTAGCCCCACAGAGAAGGAGGGCAGGAGGCGTGGACAAGGAGACACCGGGCAGTTTTGGTGATCTCTCGAACACGACTTTCAGCCACACCGTTCTGCTGTGGGGAGTGAGGGAGGGTGTAAGTCTGAAGAATGCCATGAGACTGGCAATAGGAGGATATTTGGTTGTTAAGGAACTCACCACCACCATCAGAGTGAAGGCGGCGAACAGGGCGCCCAAAATGGGTGTTTGCTCGCTCGAGCCAGGCGATGATCGCAGCCGGGGCATCTGCCTTCGTCCGAAGGAGAGAGACGGACGAGTACCGACTGTGATCATCGACGAGTACGAGGAGGTATCGATGGCCCTGGCGAGTGGGAGAGGGATTGGGGCCCCAGAGGTCCATGTGAACAAGATCAAGTGGCTGAGCAGCAGCGGAGGGGGAGCTCCGGTGCGGCTGCTGCTTGAGCTTGCTCTGAACGCAGACGGTGCAGGGGGGGGCAGGGGATTTGGGGAGAGGAGGGAGGGAGGAGGGGAGACCATGGAGGAGACCGGAGGAAACAGAGGAGCGTAGAGTAGCGAAGTTAGGGTGACCTAGCCTGTGATGGAGGAGGACGGCAGGGTGGGAGAGGGAGCGACAGGAGCAAGAGGAGTCAGGGGGGGGGCGTGAAGGGAGGTCCGGGTTAGTGGGAGGTGTCAGATTACCATCTTCATTGTAACCTGCATCATCATATAAGCTTTGACTAGAGATAGGCACCCAAACTTAGTTTGGGTGCACAACTAGGGTTTACCCTAGTTTGAGGTTGGAACCCAACCTTGGCCCAATTATTGGGCCCCCAAGGTTGGGTTGGGAGATTATTGGCCCCCCCAATAATGTTGACCCACTTTTGGTCAACATTATTGGTCCCCCCAATAACTCCTCAACCCAACTTATTGGTGGGGGCCAATAATGTTGGCATGGCTCCTACATCCTAGCTCAACTATGTAAACCCATGCCCTTCCTAATGAAACTATCGGTTGTTCTTACACTTTCTCACATGGTATTCAGAGCAACTACGGCTCACACCATCTCGATCCTAAGGACCGCACATACCGCGTGCTATATCACGCCCCCCTCTCTCACGCGACACTACGTCGCCCTTTGCGCCTAGTGCGCCCCTACGCCGTCACGCCCCCCCCCTCCCCTTGCGCTAAATTTCAGCGCCCCCCTCCCTCCTTTCTACAGTCAATTCCGCCTCTCGCGGCTCTCCCCTCTCTCCCACTAACCCATCAACCGTCGGAACGGCCACGCCAACCGTCGGAACGATCCGCGCAACCGTCGGAACGATCTGCGCAACCGTCGGAACGACCAGCGCGACCGTCGGAACGGCCAGCACGAGCGACGGAACCCTAATCGCGGGCGGACGCCACACCCGCGACGAGCATCGGCGACCGCCGCGACCGACGAAACCCTAATCGCGGGCGGACGCCACACCCGCGACGAACGACGGCCGCGGACGCGACGAGAACGGGCGACCGCCGCGGACGCGACCAGCGGGGGCGGACGCCGCGGACGCGACCAGCGCGGGCGACCGCCGCGGACGCGACCAGCGGGGGCGGACGCCGCGGACGCGACCAGCGAGGGCGGACGCCGCGGACGCGACCAGCGAGGGCGGACGCCGCGGACGCGACCAGCGAGGGCGGACGCCGCGGACGCGACCAGCGCGGGCGGACGCCGCGGACGCGACCAGCGAGGGCGGACGCCGCGGACGCGACCAGCGAGGGCGGACGCCGCGGACGCGACCAGCGAGGGCGGACGCCGCGGACGCGACCAGCGCGGGCGGACGCCGCGGACGCGACCAGCGAGGGCGGACGCCGCGGACGCGACCAGCGAGGGCGGACGCCGCGGACGCGACCAGCGAGGGCGGACGCCGCGGACGCGACCAGCGAGGGCGGACGCCGCGGACGCGACCAGCGCGGGCGGACGCCGCGGACGCGACCAGCGCGGGCGGACGTCACGGACGCGACCAGCAAGGGCGACGCTGCGGACACGACCAGCGCGGGCGGACGCCGCGGACGCGACCAGCGAAGGCGATCGCTGCGGACGCGTCCAGGAGCAGCCGCGTGTCGTCAAGGCACAGCTGCAGGCGACGAGGCGCAGCCGCGGGCGACGAGACGCAGCCGCGGGCGACAAGGGGCAGCCGCGGGTGACGAAGCGCTGCCGCACGCAACGTGACCGCGCCACCCCTCCAGGTGGTGTCGTCTTTGACCGCACCCGCCCTCCAGCCGGTGTCGTTACCCTCTCCCCCCCCCCTCCTCCCCCCTCATGGCGGACGACTCTACTCCCATTGAACTCGGAGCTATCGATAAGCTCGAACTCCTCCATGACACTACGGCCGTGAACTGGGCGTCGTTTGAGGACACACTTCACACCCACCTTGGCTCTGTCATTGTTCAAGACTACTGTCTTCTTGATGTAGTTCTTGAGCACCCTAACGGCCTTCCACCCGTCCCCCCTCCTCCTCTTGAGCCTCCTCCTCCTGATGCCCCTCCTCCCCCAGAGCCTCTGTCTGATCCCCCTCGTGCCCCAGTTCATGATGACAACCCAGATCGATGGGCGGCCAACTTGAACAACTACAACAAGCTTCGCGATGCCTACACCATCCAGCGTGAGGCGCACCGTGCTGCTGAGAAGGCTCACGCTGATGCTACTGCGCGTATCCTCTCCTACGCACAGGATGAAAAAGACTATGCTGATGAACTTCGCAAGTTCAACAAGGATACTGCAGCATGGCGAATTGCGGATCGCCGCGCTCTAGCCATTATCTTCTCCTGCATCCCTTCCCATCTCAAACGTGACCTCCGCCCCACCTCCTCCTCTGGCCTCTGGAAAACCCTGTCCACTCAGTACGACCGACAGGACCTTCGCTCTCTCCTTGCTCTCTTTCGCAAATTTCAAGACACCACTCTTGACTCATCCCCCACTGCTGCTGCCTTCACTCGGCGCCTCATCGACACTGCGCAACGTCTCAACGACCGCGGCATTGTCATTCATGAATCACTTCTCACTGCACGCATCCTCGACTGCCTTCCACCCACATACGATACCTACCGCATCACCTTTACCTCTAGGTACCGCCATCCTCCTCCTGTGGCCGACACAATCGACTGGCTCCTTGACAGCGAAGCGGACATCCAACGTGACTCCACCACCATCAATGCTATCCAGGCTCGCAAAACTCCCGCAGGCAACCACAGCAGCGGCGGAGGTAGCGGCTCAAGCGGTACTGGCGGTGGCGGTGGTGGACGAGGTGGTGGGCGAGGCGGTGGACGCGGTGGTGGTCGTGGTGGCGGCCGTGGTGGGCGTGGCAAAAACCCCTCTCCCTCGGGTACCCTTCCCCCGTGTCAGTACATCATTCGCTATGGCTCCAACAAAGGTCAGCCTTGCGCTCAAACCACTCACACCACTGACACGTGCTTCAAAGCCCTCACTGATGAGTGGTTTGCACGTGGCAATGTCGGCACCCCACCTCGATGGAACACCATCTTCCCGCGCCCCTCTCTCCATGACATACGCACTCTCCCCGCCTATCAACCCTCCACCCCTAATCTTCACAATGTCCTCACTGAGCATCTCCCACCTCATATCCTCCAGCAAGTTCAACATCTTCTCCCTTCATCTCCTCCCACTCCCACCCCTCCCACCCCTCCCATTCCCCCTTCACCCACACCTCCTCCTCAAGCCCCTCCCCCCCACTATCCTCCGCCCTATACCGGCTGGCCATACCCTCCTTATCCACCTCCTCAATACGGCCCTGTGCTTCCTCCACCTGCTACCACTCCTACTGACCAGCCCTCCTCCTCCTCCAATCCTCCTGGCTTCACTCCGTTCCCTTCTGCTGGATTCATAGGACATGTTAGCACTGCTTCTCCTGCTCCTTCAATGTATGCCCATGCTATTAATGAGACATCCTTCCAGTATTCCGCTTCTTCCTCCTCCTCTACACTCCTTGAGTTCATTCTTGACAGCGGCGCTACACACACTGTCCTTCGGGACGCAGGCACACTAGTCCCCCTCCCCACTCCCTCCACCATTTACGGAGCCGACTTCAGCTTCACCATCACAAGTCGACACACCTCCACTCTCCCCTGCCCCATCTTCCCCTCAGGCACAGTCACAGGTCTACACGTCCCCTCCCTACGCAACAATCTGGTAGCACTTCGTGACCTCCCAAGGTTAGGTGTCACCGCCATCTTCCCCGGACATGCACTTCACTGCGACCTCTTTCACACCATCACTGGTCGCTTCATCTGTCGTATTCCCCTCTGCCCACACACAAACCTGTACACATACCGCACCCCTCGCCCCTCCATCCACCAACTCACCACTCCCACCTTACTTCCCCCTACCTCCCTTCCCCCCTCCCCTCTCCCCCCCCTCCTCCCCTCCCCTTCTTCCCCCCTTCCCTCCCCTCCCTCCCCCCCTCCTCTTGCCTCCCCTCCCCCTCCCTCCTCCCCCTCCCCTCCCTCCTCCCCCTCCCCTCCCTCCTCCCCCTCCTGTCACTGTCGTGACCTTACCCATCCCGCCGTCCTCCTTCACCATCGCTTGGGTCATCCCAACTTTGCCACCCTTCGTCAATCTGTCTCCTCTCAACTTCTTGAAGGACTTCCCCTCACCCTCCCCCCTCTCCCCCCGTCGCCCTCCCCTCCCTGCTCAGTTTGCGTTGAAAGCAAACTAAAGCAAGCCCCCCACAAGAGTCATCCCTCCTTCTCTCCCCAACCCATTGATCTCGTCCACATGGACCTCTGGGGCCCCAATCCCACCCCCACCAGGCAAGGTCATCGCTACCTGCTCATACTGGTAGATGACCACAGTCGGTACTCCACTGTCTCTCTCCTTCGCAAGAAGGCGGAGGCCCCGGCTGCCATTATTGCCTGGGCTGAACAAGCACGCACCCATTTCAAACGCCCTGTCTCTCGCTTCCATTCCGATGGCGGCGGTGAGTTCCTTAACCGGATGCTTTCCTCCTACTGCTCCACCCATGGCATTATCCACACCTACACCCTTCCTCATTCCCCTCAGCAAAATGGTGTGGCGGAGAGCAGGGTTCGGGAGGTCACCAAGACCGCTCGATGCCTCATGGTCCATGCCTCCTGCCCGCCTTCTCTGTGGGGTTATGCTATCCTCCACGCCGCCATCCTCACTAATCTCTACCCCCATCCCTCACGGCCCACCACTACTCCCACCGAACTCTGGACCTCCACTAAACCCGACATCTCCCCCCTGCGCGTGTGGGGCTCCAAGGCGTATGTTCTCATACACCCTGAGGACCGTTCACGTGCAGCTGGGAAACTTGCCTCCCGCACCCTCCCTTGCATCTTCATTGGTCATAACCCCACCTCCCCGGACTACCTCTTCCTCCACCCCCCCTCAGGTCGTCTCATTCGTAGTCGGGATGTGGTTTTTGATGAAGCCAATCCGTACTACACCTCCCCCTCCGCCCCTAACCCCCTCCCCCTCACCATACGTCCTCTCCTCTGGACTGACACTGTCATCACCCCTCCCCTTCAACCTCCCCCCACCCTGGTCATACCCGCACCCCCACCCCCTCCCCCTTCTCTCCCAACCTCCTCAGGGGACATCCTTGACCCGGCTGCCCCACCCTCCCCTTCCGCTGTAACTCCCTCTCCCCCCACTGACCCTCCCCCTCTCCCCGCTGACCCCCCCCCTCCCTCCCCACCCCCTCCCCCTCCCTCTCCATCCCCTCCCCACCCCCTCCCCTCTCCCCCACCCCCTCCCCTCTCCCAACCTCCACCCTCCCCATCTCCTCCTCCCCCCCCTTCCCCTCCACCATCTCGGCCCTTACTTTCGTCCCCTCCTCTGCTCCTTCGTCACTACCCTCACACCCGCTCCACAGTCCCCATCCTTGGTCCCCCACGGTCCAATCACCTCTCCCTCCAGTCTCTCACATCCATTCCACTCCTCCACCACTCTAGCACTTCCCCACTCCCCCGCACCAGCCCCTCAGGTTCTCACACCAGCCGCGCTCCCGTCTCCCTGCCCCTCACGGCAACTCAGCGCAGCAGAGCAGCATTGCAGCTGTCTCCTCGCCCCGACCCTCGGCGCAGCAGAGCAGCAGTGCAGCCGTGTTCCCGCTCCAGCCTGACCCTCCAGCGCAGCTGTCTTGCATCTTCACCGCCTCCTCTTCCTCCTCCTCTCTCTCCGGACCTCTATGAAGACTCTCATGATGAACTCCTTTTCCTCCACCTCCTCTCACCCACCATCGCCCCTGTCGTCCGCACCATGGCTGGTACTACGGTCCTTCTTTTCTCCAACACCCCCACCATCTACGAACCCACCACCTACGAGCAAGCAATTGCATGTCTTGACGCACCTCTCTGGATCGAGGCCATGGTCAAGGAATGCAACGCCTTCATCCACAACCGCTCTTTCCTCGACGTCCCTCGCCCCTCCAAGCACAACGTGGTCAAAGGCAGGTGGCTCTTCCGAGTAAAACTACTCCCTGGTGAAGCTCCTGTCTACAAGGCTCGGTATGTGGCGAAAGGCTTTACACAGACTTATGGCTCGGACTTCTTCGAGACCTACTCACCTACCGCCACTCCGCCGGTCATTCGCGTGTTTCTGGACTTCGTTGGCAGACGCGGGATGCTCCTCCACTCCATGGATGTCACCACGGCCTTCTTACAAGGCGACCTCCACGAACTCATCTTCTTGGAACGTCCCAAGGGCTTCCACGCTCCTCACGACCCTGCCACCGTCTGGAAACTACTACGCCCTGTTTACGGGCTCAAACAAGCACCTCGAGAATGGCACGCCAAACTCTCATCCACCCTTCGCGCACTTGGCTTTCGCCCCTCCCGTGCTGCCTCTTGCCTCTTCCTTCGCTTAACTCCGTCACCCTTCTTCATCCTCGTCTACGTCGACGACATGCTGCTAGCAGCTGAGACAGCTGCTGAACTTCAGGAGGTCAAGGATGAGCTGCAGCAACGTCTCGCCTGCAAAGATCTGGGGGAAGTCCGCAACTACCTTGGCATGGAGATCACCCGCGACCTCACTGCCAAGACTATCACCCTCTCTCAGTCATTCTACATCGGGAAGGTGCTCGAGAGATTCGGCATGTCCAAATCCAAACCCATCCCCACACCACTTGCATTCGGGCATCGGCTGTCCCCTCCAGCCACTCCTGTCACCTCCCCTCATCCCTATGCAGAACTCGTTGGGGCCCTGATGTACGCCATGGTCTGCACTCGTCCCGACCTTGCATACCCCGTCAGTGTCCTGGCGCGGTTTGTTGGCACTGGCAGGCATGGTGAGGAGCACTGGAAGGCGGCCATGCGTGTTCTGCGCTACCTCCAAGGCACAAAGGACTATGGCCTCACGCTTGGTGGTGTGGACCCACCTGTTCTTCAAGGCTTCAGTGACTCATCTTGGGCGGATGCACAGCCGGACCATCGCAGTTCTCAAGGATATGGCTTCTCCCTTGGGAGCGGCCTCATCAGCTGGCGCTCCACTCGCTCCTCCTCCGTCGCCCTCTCCTCCTGCGAAGCCGAGCTGTACGCAGTCACCATGGCGGCTCAAGAGGCACGCTGGCTTAGCTATCTTCTCACCGACCTTGGCTCACCACAGCCCTGCCCCACCCTGTGGTGTGACAACGATAGTACCATCCACCTCACCAAGGAGGCCGTCTTTCATGGTCGCTCCAAACACATCGAACTCCGCTACTACTTTGTCCGCGATCTTGTGCAAGATGGTCACATCACTGTTCGTAAAATCGACTCGTCCGCCAACCTCGCTGACCTCTTCACCAAGGCTCTCCATCGCTCTAACCACTCTGCGCTCCTGCGCCTTCAGGGACTTGCTCCCCGCGGTGGCTGATTCAGGGGTTGTTGCGTTCTCTCTTCCAAAGCCTATGGATTTCTGCAGGTTAAGGGGTTGTGTCAGATTACCATCTTCATTGTAACCTGCATCATCATATAAGCTTTGACTAGAGATAGGCACCCAAACTTAGTTTGGGTGCACAACTAGGGTTTACCCTAGTTTGAGGTTGGAACCCAACCTTGGCCCAATTATTGGGCCCCCAAGGTTGGGTTGGGAGATTATTGGCCCCCCCAATAATGTTGACCCACTTTTGGTCAACATTATTGGTCCCCCCAATAACTCCTCAACCCAACTTATTGGTGGGGGCCAATAATGTTGGCATGGCTCCTACATCCTAGCTCAACTATGTAAACCCATGCCCTTCCTAATGAAACTATCGGTTGTTCTTACACTTTCTCACAGGAGGGAGAGGAGGGGGTGGGATGAGAGGGTGGAGGGGAGGACGAGAGATGACCTGACAGGAGGGGAGGCGAGGAACACGAAGGGTGTACAGACGGGAGCGAGGGCAAAATGGAATGCGAGAAATGAACTGACCGGTGGCGGAATGGTAGAGAGCGCAATAGTTAGCATAAGCTGGGAATACTGTGGTGATACCGGCTTGTTGAAGGGACCTTTGCGAGAGGAGATTAGCGCGAAGAGAGGGTATGTGGAGACCGGTGACAGTGCCTGAGGGGAAGAGTGGGCAGGGGAGAGTCGAGGTGTTATGGCAGGGGATAGAGAAGCTGCTATCGGCGCCAAGGAGGGAGGTAGGCGTTGGGAGGGGGCGCAAGGTGCCAGCATCGCGAAGAACTGTGTCAGTGGCGCCGCTGTCAAGGACAAAGTCGACAGTGGAGGGGAGGGAGGAGGAAGGGACAGAGGACTGGAACGCAGTTTCTTTAGTGCTAGAGGAGTATGTGGCAGGGGCAGCTGATGTGGCTTGATTGACCATACCAGCAATACCAACGGATGAGAGAGGTGGGACATTGCTTGAAGTGGCGGAGCTTGTGGAACAATGCGGAACTGAGTTCTGCTGGGAAGTTGGGGGAGGAGGAGGAAGAGGCAGCTGCGCTTGTGCGCTAAGGTGCTGCTGCAGGCGGTGAAGCAACTGCTGGAGCTGGAGGAGGAGGTGCCAGAGCTGCTGGTGCTGGTGCTGCTGCTGCTGCTGCTGCTGCTGCTGCTGCTGCTGCTGCTGCTGCTGCTGCTGCTGCTGCTGCTGCTGCTGCTGCTGGTGCCGGTGCCGGTGCTGCTGCTGCTGCTGCTGCTGCTGCTGCCGCTGCCGCTGCCGCTGCCGCTGCTGCTGCTGCTGCTGCTGCTGCTGCTGCTGCTGCTGAGGAGGAGGAGGAGAGAAGGGTGGACTCGGGGCATGGTGGGCTTGGGTGGAGATTTTGCACTGAAGTCCCCGAGTCGGGCCATAGCGAGGCACATATTCACGAGGAGAGAAGGCTGCTGCTGCGCCGCAGCCTGCGCTCAAACCCCTGATACCACAATATCCTGCGAGTCTCCCTTGACCACCACCACAGCTACCACTATGCCCTCCTCCATGCCCACCGGCACCACTTCTGCTGCATGCCAGGGCGACTATTGCCATGGAGGGAGCAATGTGAGTGTGGGCGGTTACGGCATGGCGCAGGCGAGCAGGGCATGAAGGTGTGCGGTATGCGTTTGCAAATGTGCGGTATGCCGGGGAGGTGGGCAGGGGGCGGACGAGGGGACGGGGGACAGCGAGCGGGGAAGGAGGGCGTGCGACGAGTGCGCGGACGGGGAGGGCGCGGACGAGCAGGGCGCGCGGACGGGCAGGGCGCGGACGAGCAGAGCGCGCGGACGGGCAGGGCGCGGACGAGCAGGGCGTGCGGACGGGCAGGGCGCGGACGAGCAGGGCGTGCGGACGGGCAGGGCGCGGACGAGCAGGGCGTGCGGACGGGCAGGGCGCGGACGAGCAGAGATGGGCGCGAAATGGTCAGATTTCAGCGCGGGAGATGCAGATCTGGTCGCGCGGAGGGCAGATCTGGGCGCGCGGAGGGCAGATCTGGGCGCGCGGAGTGCAGATCTGGGCGCGCGGAGTGCAGATCTGGACGTGCGGAGGGCAGATCTGGGTGGGCGGAGTGCAGATCTGGGCGCGCGGAGTGCAGATCTGGGTGCGAAATGTTCAGATCTGGGCGCGGGAGGAGGAGATCTGGTGGCGCGGAATCCAGATCTGGGCGCGGAATGATCAGATCTAGGCGCGGGAGGAGTAGATCTGGTCGCAGGGAGTGCAGATCTGGGCGCTGGAGTTGCAGATCTGAGCGCGGGGAATGCAGATCTGGGCGCTGGAGTTGCAGATCTGAGCGCGGGGAATGCAGATCTGGGCGCTGGAGTTGCAGATCTGGACGTGCCTTGGAGGGCAGCGCCTTAGGGGGCGCACGGGGAGGGAGGACAGCGCCTTAAGGGTGCGTGAAGGGAGGGCAGCTCCGTGGGTGGGGCTAGATCTGAGGAACGGGGAGGAATAGATGTGAGCTCGGGAGGAGTAGATCTAAGCTCGGGAGGAGTAGATGTGAGCTCGGGAGGAGTAGATCTGAGCTCGGGAGGAGTAGATCTGAGCTCGGGAGGAGTAGATGTGAGCTCGGGAGGAGTAGATCTGAGCTCGGGAGGAGTAGATCTGAGCTCGGGAGGAGTAGATGTGAGCTCGGGAGGAGTAGATCTGAGCTCGGGGGGGATAGATCTGAGCTCGGGAGGAGTAGATGTGAGCTTGGGAGGAGTAGATCTGAGCTTGGGACGAGTAGATGTGAGCTCGGGAGGAGTAGATCGGAGCTCGAGAGGAGTAGATCTGAGCTTGGGAGCACCGTAGTAGGACTAGGTCTGAGGGACGGGGAGGAGAGGGTGGCCTTAGGATCGAGGGATTAAGGCGTGAGCCAATAGCTCATGATACCATGTTGAAAAGCTAGAAGAGATACATTGAATAATGAGCCAAGAGGCCCTTTAGTACAAACAATGAGCAAGAGAGAGATGAAAGGGAAGCTTACCCTATTGGCCAATAAGTTGGCCAATGGGTGAGCTTGCTTGTGACCCAAGCAACCACAAATGTGTGTTGGTTGGGATTGGTTGAGCTAGGGACCAATCCCAACCAACCACAAAATGTGGTTGGAGGGTACACTAAACAACCCCCCAATTTATAAGTGTACTACAGATCTAATTCTAGCCTATGTATGTTGTACAAATTATGAAATTACAACAGCAATGGCAGCAAGTGGGAGTGAAGGAGCAATGGCAGCAAGTGGGAGTGAAGGAGCAATGGCAGCAAGTGGGAGTGAAGGAGCAATGGCAGCAAGTGGGAGTGAAGGAGCAATGGCAGCAAGTGGGAGTGAAGGAGCAATGGCAGCAAGTGGGAGTGAAGGAGCAATGGCAGCAAGTGGGAGTGAAGGAGCAATGGCAGCAAGTGGGAGTGAAGGAGCAATGGCAGCAAGTGGGAGTGAAGGAGCAATGGCAGCAAGTGGGAGTGAAGGAGCAATGGCAGCAAGTGGGAGTGAAGGAGCAATGGCAGCAAGTGGGAGTGAAGGAGCAATGGCAGCAAGTGGGAGTGAAGGAGCAATGGCAGCAAGTGGGAGTGAAGGAGCAATGGCAGCAAGTGGGAGTGAAGGAGCAATGGCAGCAAGTGGGAGTGAAGGAGCAATGGCAGCAAGTGGGAGTGAAGGAGCAATGGCAGCAAGTGGGAGTGAAGGAGCAATGGCAGCAAGTGGGAGTGAAGGAGCAATGGCAGCAAGTGGGAGTGAAGGAGCAATGGCAGCAAGTGGGAGTGAAGGAGCAATGGCAGCAAGTGGGAGTGAAGGAGCAATGGCAGCAAGTGGGAGTGAAGGAGCAATGGCAGCAAGTGGGAGTGAAGGAGCAATGGCAGCAAGTGGGAGTGAAGGAGCAATGGCAGCAAGTGGGAGTGAAGGAGCAATGGCAGCAAGTGGGAGTGAAGGAGCAATGGCAGCAAGTGGGAGTGAAGGAGCAATGGCAGCAAGTGGGAGTGAAGGAGCAATGGCAGCAAGTGGGAGTGAAGGAGCAATGGCAGCAAGTGGGAGTGAAGGAGCAATGGCAGCAAGTGGGAGTGAAGGAGCAATGGCAGCAAGTGGGAGTGAAGGAGCAATGGCAGCAAGTGGGAGTGAAGGAGCAATGGCAGCAAGTGGGAGTGAAGGAGCAATGGCAGCAAGTGGGAGTGAAGGAGCAATGGCAGCAAGTGGGAGTGAAGGAGCAATGGCAGCAAGTGGGAGTGAAGGAGCAATGGCAGCAAGTGGGAGTGAAGGAGCAATGGCAGCAAGTGGGAGTGAAGGAGCAATGGCAGCAAGTGGGAGTGAAGGAGCAATGGCAGCAAGTGGGAGTGAAGGAGCAATGGCAGCAAGTGGGAGTGAAGGAGCAATGGCAGGATGGGAGATGGATGGAGAAACATAGGGAAGAGGAGATGGAAACATGTGGTGGGATGCATGTGACGTGGGAATGGTGGCACGTGGTGGGCTAGCAAGTTGCATGCAGTGACAGAGAGTGAGACGACTTGCCGGTGGTAGGGCTATTCGAGGAGGGTGGACGGTCGTTGGGGCAGGTAAAAAGATTGTTTGAGCAGGTGGGAGGTTATTTGGGCGGGTAGATTCACCTGGTAAGCACTGTGAGCTGTTAACGAGCACCTGGCCGGCAGCACACACGCACACGGGCTTGCCGTCCACTGCTGAGCAAGTGGCAGTGGAGGGGCACTGCACTCGCATGCACGGGTCTTGCACTGCAGGGGAGGGGATGGGCAAGTTGGGGTTGGAGAAGGGAGGGGATGGGGGAGGCGGTGTGCTGAGAGAGATGCGGTTGGAAGGGAAAGGGCATGGAGCACAGCCCATGGGCCATGAGTACGGCCGCACTGCACAGCACTGCACACAGCACAGCACCGCACAGCACAGCACAGGACCGCACGGCACAGCACGGCACAGCACAGCTGGTGAGGGACTCGGTTTGCATCGGTTCTGAGTTGGAAAAACGGACGAATGAAGGTCAGACTCGCCATGCATGCAGCCCAGCACCCACCAGCCCACCCACCGCCCCACCCACCGCCCCACCCACCGCCCCACCCACCGCCCCACCCATCAGCGCACTAACAGGCGCACTAACGGGTGCACCCACTGGCGCACCCACTGCAGGGCAGGTGGTGGCCAAATGAAAGGCGTGTGTGCCTAGGTGAGCACGGTCAGTGCGTTGACAGCCCTGTGGAGCACCGTGCTCACCGTAGGGCAGTTCGCCAACCCAGTTCCCCGGCGGGTAGTAGTGGCACGCCCACACGTCCGCACTCGTGCCACACGACGCCTTGCCACACCCCACTGTGCGTGTGCCGTTCCAAATGACCTGCGTGTAGTGCCCACACTTGGCCCAGTTGCCGCCCGCACAGCCATCAGGGAAAACAGCGACGGAGTACCACTGGCCCTCGTCCACCCACAGCTGTGCCGCTGCTCCATTCGTCTTGACCCCCGCAGGGCTGGCGCCTGCAAGGTTCTGCCCCTCGCCGGTATGTCCGCCGTGCACGAGCGTGCAGTTGTACGACGTGTTGGTCAGCGCGGTTGCCCACGCCTGCGCCCTCACCGCCACTGGGGGGAAACGGGAGAGACAAGGGGAATAGCGGAGAGGAGTGGAGTGGAGAGTGGAGGAGAGAAGAGGCGAGGAGAGGAGAGGCGAGGAGAGGAGAGGCGAGGAGAGGAGAGGCGAGGAGAGGAGAGGCGAGGAGAGAAGAGGCTTGGGCATGGGATGAGATGCATGGTGGTGGGCAACCTTGATGTGCACGACACGTGAATCACCTGCTCCCTGGGAGGCAGACGCATGACGCATGGCATGCATGCACTCATGCGTCTCTCTCCTCTCACCCGCACGCACTCACAAGCGTCATCCCACACAAGCGGCGGAAGCACGAGTGCTAGTCACATCCATAGTGAATGCACTCGTGGGTCACTCTCCCTCACAGCTCACATGTATCGTCCCACACTCACTTGCATACATGCGTCCCTCTCCCCTCAAAAGAACTCACAGGCATCGTCCCACACTCACATGCGTCGTCCCACACGAGTGGCACGGCCCCCACAGCAGCGCGGGCGTGGTTGTGAACATCGAGGTAGTCGGAGTAAGGGAGGTCGGCCGAGGAGCACACGTTGTCAATGAGACGTGCGAATGGTGCGGGGCACTGGCACACCGCTGTACCCACCTGCACCACACACGTGGACACGTCCGGACACTTGACACCGTAGCATGGGTCTGAAAAGGGAGGGGGGTGTGGGGGGGGGGATGTGGAGGAAGGTGTGTGAAAGACGGGTGTGGGCGGGGTGTCGACAACTTTCTATGAATTGAGAATCACCTGAGCAGTAGCACCCGGCACTGTTATCATCACCTGAGCAAGAGCACTCGGCTGTGTTGCAATCACCTGGGCAGGAGCACCTGGCAATGCCAGCGGAAGAGGAGCAGGTGCAGTTGGCAGGGCAGGTGACGATCGAGCACAAGTCCACCTCTGGTAAAATGGCGGTGGGAAAGAGGGGAGGCGAAAATTGGAACGAGGGAAGTAAGGAGAGGGAGAGCGAAGGCAAGGGCGAGAAAATCACGGGAGAAAAATGACATGAGCCAAGGAGAATGAGAAACTGTTTTGCTCACCCTGCCACTGCCCTGTGCTACTCACCCTGCCACTGCCCTGTGCTACTCACCCTGCCACTGCCCTGTGCTACTCACCCTGCCACTGCCCTGTGCTACTCACCCTGCCACTGCCCTGTGCTACTCACCCTGCCACTGCCCTGTGCTACTCACCCTGCCACTGCCCTGTGCTACTCACCCTGCCACTGCCCTGTGCTACTCACCCTGCCACTGCCCTGTGCTACTCACCCTGCCACTGCCCTGTGCTACTCACCCTGCCACTGCCCTGTGCTACTCACCCTGCCACTGCCCTGTGCTACTCACCCTGCCACTGCCCTGTGCTACTCACCCTGCCACTGCCCTGTGCTACTCACCCTGCCACTGCCCTGTGCTACTCACCCTGCCACTGCCCTGTGCTACTCACCCTGCCACTGCCCTGTGCTACTCACCCTGCCACTGCACAGTGTAGCCAACCAAGCAGTTACACGTGGCACCAGTGCCCACCTCCGCACACAATCAGTTGGCCGGACATCCCGGCCGCCCCACACGCCCCTCTGCCACCACCCGTGCTGCCTGTGCTGCCACAACTACAGCTGCTGCCCCTCTCACCTGTGCTGCCAGTGCTGCCTGTGCTGCCGGTGCTCCCGGTGCTGCCCGTGCCGCCCGTGCCGCCCGTGCTGCCCGTGCCGCCCGTGCCGCCCGTGCTGCTGGTGCTGCAGGTGCTGTCCGTGTTGACGGTGCTGTCTGTGCTGCCGGAGCAGGCAATAGATCTCACTGCTGCAAAGTTACCACTCGTGGTCCTGGACAGCACACGCACAATCACACAGCAGCAAACTTTTAAGACGTCTCAAAAGAGCACACACACAAGCAGGCAGCAGCAAACCGCAATGAGTGGATCAGCCAATAAAGGGTACACAACAGCAAGCTCGAGGAGCGGTGGAGGTGCAAGCAAGCACAGGGGAAGGTGCAAGCAAGCACAGGGGAAGGTGCAGAGGCATCAGCAGGTCAGGCAGCAGCAGGGGCTCACGCAGAGAATGTGACGCCACTGTCGGGTGTCCACCAGCCACTGGACCAACCAGAGCAGTCGGTGCGGTTGTTGAACCACATCAGCTTGCACACCTGCCGCACCCCTGCCGCCCCGTCCGGCACGTCCCACAGGATCTTGATCGACCCCACCGCCCCTGCCAAGGGTGCCGGCACGTTGACGCACCCCGCGTCGGGCGTTGGGGCTCGGAGCACGACGGGCGCGAGGGAGGCGGGTGAGTTGGTGTAGTTGGGCGCGTTGTAGAGCACCACGCTCGATGCCACCGTGGTGCTGGCCCCTGTTGGGGGGGGTAAGAGGGGAGGGAGGGAGAGAGGGAGGGAAGGAGGGTGGGAGGGAGGAAGAGAGGGAGAAGGGGACGGAAATAAAAAAAGGCGGGGAGGGAGAGGGCGTGAAAGGGATGGAAGGGATTGGTGAGGGGAGGTCAGCACGGCTTGGTGAGGGGAGGTCAGCACGGCTTGGTGAGGGGAGGTCGGCACGGCTTGGTGAGGGGAGGTCGGCACGGCTTGGTGAGGGGAGGTCGGCACGGCTTGGTGAGGGGAGGTCGGCACGGCTTGGTGAGGGGAGGTCGGCACGGCTTGGTGAGGGGAGGTCGGCACGGCTTGGTGAGGGGAGGTCGGCACGGCTTGGTGAGGGGAGGTCAGCACGGCTTGGTGAGGGGAGGTCAGCACGGCTTGGTGAGGGGAGGTCAGCACGGCTTGGTGAGGGGAGGTCGGCACGGCTTGGTGAGGGGAGGTCGGCACGGCTTGGTGAGGGGAGGTCGGCACGGCTTGGTGAGGGGAGGTCGGCACGGCTTGGTGAGGGGAGGTCGGCACGGCTTGGTGAGGGGAGGTCGGCACGGCTTGGTGAGGGGAGGTCGGCACGGCTTGGTGAGGGGAGGTCGGCACGGCTTGGTGAGGGGAGGTCAGCACGGCTTGGTGAGGGGAGGTCAGCACGGCTTGGTGAGGGGAGGTCAGCACGGCTTGGTGAGGGGAGGTCGGCACGGCTTGGTGAGGGGAGGTCGGCACGGCTTGGTGAGGGGAGGTCGGCACGGCTTGGTGAGGGGAGGTCGGCACGGCTTGGTGAGGGGAGGTCGGCACGGCTTGGTGAGGGGAGGTCGGCACGGCTTGGTGAGGGGAGGTCGGCACGGCTTGGTGAGGGGAGGTCAGCACGGCTTGGTGAGGGGAGGTCAGCACGGCTTGGTGAGGGGAGGTCGGCACGGCTTGGTGAGGGGAGGTCGGCACGGCTTGGTGAGGGGAGGTCGGCACGGCTTGGTGAGGGGAGGTCGGCACGGCTTGGTGAGGGGAGGTCGGCACGGCTTGGTGAGGGGAGGTCGGCACGGCTTGGTGAGGGGAGGTCAGCACGGCTTGGTGAGGGGAGGTCAGCACGGCTTGGTGAGGGGAGGTCAGCACGGCTTGGTGAGGGGAGGTCGGCACGGCTTGGTGAGGGGAGGTCGGCACGGCTTGGTGAGGGGAGGTCGGCACGGCTTGGTGAGGGGAGGTCGGCACGGCTTGGTGAGGGGAGGTCGGCACGGCTTGGTGAGGGGAGGTCGGCACGGCTTGGTGAGGGGAGGTCGGCACGGCTTGGTGAGGGGAGGTCAGCACGGCTTGGTGAGGGGAGGTCAGCACGGCTTGGTGAGGGGAGGTCGGCACGGCTTGGTGAGGGGAGGTCGGCACGGCTTGGTGAGGGGAGGTCGGCACGGCTTGGTGAGGGGAGGTCGGCACGGCTTGTGAGGGGAGGTCGGCACGGCTTGTGAGGGGAGGTCGGCACGGCTTGGTGAGGGGAGGTCGGCACGGCTTGGTGAGGGGAGGTCAGCACGGCTTGCAATGCTTGATAGCTGTGATTGGGACAGTGCGTGTGTATGTGCTGATGGTGAGAAGCTATAGCGGATGTGCCAATAACGAGTACCTTGAGTGCAGGTGGCGTTGACGAGGGAGGAGCAAGCAGGGCAGGCGCAGAAGGGGATGCCGTCTTTGGTGGCCGTGCAGCGAGACGTGGAGGGGCACTGCACCCCCACACACACCGGCGCTGCACAGGGGTGACAAGCGGTGAGACGCGGGGAGAAAGGTTTTGGAGGGGTGCAGTGGAGTGTGGACAGGTGAGGAGGGCTGACGAGGGGTGATAACTAGTGAGAAGGGCGAGGAGGGGTGAGGATGGTGAAGGTGGTGAAGCCGGGGTGGGAGCACAGCACACTCACCCAGGCACATGTTGAGGGCAACAAGCAGCGTCCCCTTGGGACACACGCACTGCGCCGTGCCTGTGCTGCCGTCACACACCAGGTCGCCTGCTGGACAGCTCACTCCAATGCACGGGTCTGGCAGGGGCAGTGGTCAAGGGGGGAAAGGGAGGAAGAGTGGGAAGGAGAAAGGGGAGAGGTGCATGATCGACGTGAGGATGATTGAGGCCCACAGGGTGGGTGGCGAGCAAGGGATTGGTGAAATGGGAGATGGAGAGACGTAGGGAAGAGGAGGTTTTTGAGAATTCTCAAAAACCAGACGTAGGGAAGAGGAGGTTTTTGAGAATTCTCAAAAACCAGACGTAGGGAAGAGGAGGTTTTTGAGAATTCTCAAAAACCAGACGTAGGGAAGAGGAGGTTTTTGAGAATTCTCAAAAACCAGACGTAGGGAAGAGGAGGTTTTTGAGAATTCTCAAAAACCAGACGTAGGGAAGAGGAGGTGGAGACATGACATGTGATGGAGGTTCTGGGATGGAGACATGGGAGGTGCATGGGATGGAGACATGGGAGGTGCATGGGATGGAGACATGGGAGGTGCATGGGATGGAGACATGGGAGGTGCATGGGATGGAGACATGGGAGGTGCATGGGATGGAGACATGGGAGGTGCATGGGATGGAGACATGGGAGGTGCATGGGATGGGAGTGGCACGCGATGGGATGGGAGTGAACACTGTGTCCCAAGGTCAGAGGATGGACGGGTTGATTGCACAGGTGGAAGAAGGGTTGATTGCACAGGTAGAAGAAGGGTTGATTGCACAGGTGGAAGAAGGGTTGATTGCACAGGTGGAAGAAGGGTTGATTGCACAGGTAGAAGAAGGGTTGATTGCACAGGTAGAAGAAGGGTTGATTGCACAGGTAGAAGAAGGGTTGATTGCACAGGTAGAAGAAGGGTTGATTGCACAGGTGGAAGAAGGGTTGATTGCACAGGTGGAAGAAGGGTTGATTGCACAGGTAGAAGAAGGGTTGATTGCACAGGTAGAAGAAGGGTTGATTGCACAGGTAGAAGAAGGGTTGATTGCACAGGTAGAAGAAGGGTTGATTGCACAGGTAGAAGAAGGGTTGATTGCACAGGTGGAAGAAGGGTTGATTGCACAGGTAGAAGAAGGGTTGATTGCACAGGTAGAAGAAGGGTTGATTGCACAGGTAGAAGAAGGGTTGATTGCACAGGTGGAAGAAGGGTTGATTGCACAGGTGGAAGAAGGGTTGATTGCACAGGTAGAAGAAGGGTTGATTGCACAGGTAGAAGAAGGGTTGATTGCACAGGTAGAAGAAGGGTTGATTGCACAGGTAGAAGAAGGGTTGATTGCACAGGTAGAAGAAGGGTTGATTGCACAGGTAGAAGAAGGGTTGATTGCACAGGTGGAAGAAGGGTTGATTGCACAGGTAGAAGAAGGGTTGATTGCACAGGTAGAAGAAGGGTTGATTGCACAGGTAGAAGAAGGGTTGATTGCACAGGTAGAAGAAGGGTTGATTGCACAGGTGGAAGAAGGGTTGATTGCACAGGTAGAAGAAGGGTTGATTGCACAGGTAGAAGAAGGGTTGATTGCACAGGTAGAAGAAGGGTTGATTGCACAGGTGGAAGAAGGGTTGATTGCACAGGTGGAAGAAGGGTTGATTGCACAGGTAGAAGAAGGGTTGATTGCACAGGTAGAAGAAGGGTTGATTGCACAGGTAGAAGAAGGGTTGATTGCACAGGTAGAAGAAGGGTTGATTGCACAGGTAGAAGAAGGGTTGATTGCACAGGTAGAAGAAGGGTTGATTGCACAGGTGGAAGAAGGGTTGATTGCACAGGTAGAAGAAGGGTTGATTGCACAGGTAGAAGAAGGGTTGATTGCACAGAAGAAGAAGGGTTGGCGGCAGGTAGAAGAAGGGGTGTTGGCGGCAGGTGGAAGAAGGGGTGTTGGCGGCAGGTAGAAGAAGGGGTGTTGGCGGCAGGTAGAAGAAGGGGTGTTGGCGGCAGGTAGAAGAAGGGGTGTTGGCGGCAGGTGGAAGAAGGGGTGTTGGCGGCAGGTAAGCAGGTAGGAAGGTTATTTGGGCGGGTGAGGGTGAGAGGGTTATTTGGGCGGGTGAGGGTGAGAGGGTTATTTGGGCAGGTAGACTCACCTGGTAAGCACTGTGAGCTGTTAACGAGCACCTGGCCGGCAGCACAGGCGCACACGGGGTTGCCATCCACTGCTGTGCACGTGGCGGTGGAGGGGCACTGCACTCGCATGCACGGGTCTTGCACTGCGGGGGGGGACAGTTGGGGTCGGGGGGAGGAGGGAGGGGTGGGAGATGCGGCGTGGTGTGAGAGGGCGTGTTGGAAGGCTTAGGGCACTCTCACTGCCTCCTATGCACAGGTCTTGGCACTGCCTCCTATGCACGGGTCTTGGCACTGCCTCCTATGCACGGGTCTTGGCACTGCCTCCTATGCACGGGTCTTGGCACTGCCTCCTATGCACGGGTCTTGGCACTGCCTCCTATGCACGGGTCTTGGCACTGCCTCCTATGCACGGGTCTTGGCACTGCCTCCTATGCACGGGTCTTGGCACTGCCTCCTATGCACGGGTCTTGGCACTGCCTCCTATGCACGGGTCTTGGCACTGCCTCCTATGCACGGGTCTTGGCACTGCCTCCTATGCACGGGTCTTGGCACTGCCTCCTATGCACGGGTCTTGGCACTGCCTCCTATGCACGGGTCTTGGCACTGCCTCCTATGCACGGGTCTTGGCACTGCCTCCTATGCACGGGTCTTGGCACTGCCTCCTATGCACGGGTCTTGGCACTGCCTCCTATGCACGGGTCTTGGCACTGCCTCCTATGCACGGGTCTTGGCACTGCCTCCTATGCACGGGTCTTGGCACTGCCTCCTATGCACGGGTCTTGGCACTGCCTCCTATGCACGGGTCTTGGCACTGCCTCCTATGCACGGGTCTTGGCACTGCCTCCTATGCACGGGTCTTGGCACTGCCTCCTATGCACGGGTCTTGGCACTGCCTCCTATGCACGGGTCTTGGCACTGCCTCCTATGCACGGGTCTTGGCACTGCCTCCTATGCACGGGTCTTGGCACTGCCTCCTATGCACGGGTCTTGGCACTGCCTCCTATGCACGGGTCTTGGCACTGCCTCCTATGCACGGGTCTTGGCACTGCCTCCTATGCACGGGTCTTGGCACTGCCTCCTATGCACGGGTCTTGGCACTGCCTCCTATGCACGGGTCTTGGCACTGCCTCCTATGCACGGGTCTTGGCACTGCCTCCTATGCACGGGTCTTGGCACTGCCTCCTATGCACGGGTCTTGGCACTGCCTCCTATGCACGGGTCTTGGCACTGCCTCCTATGCACGGGTCTTGGCACTGCCTCCTATGCACGGGTCTTGGCACTGCCTCCTATGCACGGGTCTTGGCACTGCCTCCTATGCACGGGTCTTGGCACTGCCTCCTATGCACGGGTCTTGGCACTGCCTCCTATGCACGGGTCTTGGCACTGCCTCCTATGCACGGGTCTTGGCACTGCCTCCTATGCACGGGTCTTGGCACTGCCTCCTATGCACGGGTCTTGGCACTGCCTCCTATGCACGGGTCTTGGCACTGCCTCCTATGCACGGGTCTTGGCACTGCCTCCTATGCACGGGTCTTGGCACTGCCTCCTATGCACGGGTCTTGGCACTGCCTCCTATGCACGGGTCTTGGCACTGCCTCCTATGCACGGGTCTTGGCACTGCCTCCTATGCACGGGTCTTGGCACTGCCTCCTATGCACGGGTCTTGGCACTGCCTCCTATGCACGGGTCTTGGCACTGCCTCCTATGCACGGGTCTTGGCACTGCCTCCTATGCACGGGTCTTGGCACTGCCTCCTATGCACGGGTCTTGGCACTGCCTCCTATGCACGGGTCTTGGCACTGCCTCCTATGCACGGGTCTTGGCACTGCCTCCTATGCACGGGTCTTGGCACTGCCTCCTATGCACGGGTCTTGGCACTGCCTCCTATGCACGGGTCTTGGCACTGCCTCCTATGCACGGGTCTTGGCACTGCCTCCTATGCACGGGTCTTGGCACTGCCTCCTATGCACGGGTCTTGGCACTGCCTCCTATGCACGGGTCTTGGCACTGCCTCCTATGCACGGGTCTTGGCACTGCCTCCTATGCACGGGTCTTGGCACTGCCTCCTATGCACGGGTCTTGGCACTGCCTCCTATGCACGGGTCTTGGCACTGCCTCCTATGCACGGGTCTTGGCACTGCCTCCTATGCACGGGTCTTGGCACTGCCTCCTATGCACGGGTCTTGGCACTGCCTCCTATGCACGGGTCTTGGCACTGCCTCCTATGCACGGGTCTTGGCACTGCCTCCTATGCACGGGTCTTGGCACTGCCTCCTATGCACGGGTCTTGGCACTGCCTCCTATGCACGGGTCTTGGCACTGCCTCCTATGCACGGGTCTTGGCACTGCCTCCTATGCACGGGTCTTGGCACTGCCTCCTATGCACGGGTCTTGGCACTGCCTCCTATGCACGGGTCTTGGCACTGCCTCCTATGCACGGGTCTTGGCACTGCCTCCTATGCACGGGTCTTGGCACTGCCTCCTATGCACGGGTCTTGGCACTGCCTCCTATGCACGGGTCTTGGCACTGCCTCCTATGCACGGGTCTTGGCACTGCCTCCTATGCACGGGTCTTGGCACTGCCTCCTATGCACGGGTCTTGGCACTGCCTCCTATGCACGGGTCTTGGCACTGCCTCCTATGCACGGGTCTTGGCACTGCCTCCTATGCACGGGTCTTGGCACTGCCTCCTATGCACGGGTCTTGGCACTGCCTCCTATGCACGGGTCTTGGCACTGCCTCCTATGCACGGGTCTTGGCACTGCCTCCTATGCACGGGTCTTGGCACTGCCTCCTATGCACGGGTCTTGGCACTGCCTCCTATGCACGGGTCTTGGCACTGCCTCCTATGCACGGGTCTTGGCACTGCCTCCTATGCACGGGTCTTGGCACTGCCTCCTATGCACGGGTCTTGGCACTGCCTCCTATGCACGGGTCTTGGCACTGCCTCCTATGCACGGGTCTTGGCACTGCCTCCTATGCACGGGTCTTGGCACTGCCTCCTATGCACGGGTCTTGGCACTGCCTCCTATGCACGGGTCTTGGCACTGCCTCCTATGCACGGGTCTTGGCACTGCCTCCTATGCACGGGTCTTGGCACTGCCTCCTATGCACGGGTCTTGGCACTGCCTCCTATGCACGGGTCTTGGCACTGCCTCCTATGCACGGGTCTTGGCACTGCCTCCTATGCACGGGTCTTGGCACTGCCTCCTATGCACGGGTCTTGGCACTGCCTCCTATGCACGGGTCTTGGCACTGCCTCCTATGCACGGGTCTTGGCACTGCCTCCTATGCACGGGTCTTGGCACTGCCTCCTATGCACGGGTCTTGGCACTGCCTCCTATGCACGGGTCTTGGCACTGCCTCCTATGCACGGGTCTTGGCACTGCCTCCTATGCACGGGTCTTGGCACTGCCTCCTATGCACGGGTCTTGGCACTGCCTCCTATGCACGGGTCTTGGCACTGCCTCCTATGCACGGGTCTTGGCACTGCCTCCTATGCACGGGTCTTGGCACTGCCTCCTATGCACGGGTCTTGGCACTGCCTCCTATGCACGGGTCTTGGCACTGCCTCCTATGCACGGGTCTTGGCACTGCCTCCTATGCACGGGTCTTGGCACTGCCTCCTATGCACGGGTCTTGGCACTGCCTCCTATGCACGGGTCTTGGCACTGCCTCCTATGCACGGGTCTTGGCACTGCCTCCTATGCACGGGTCTTGGCACTGCCTCCTATGCACGGGTCTTGGCACTGCCTCCTATGCACGGGTCTTGGCACTGCCTCCTATGCACGGGTCTTGGCACTGCCTCCTATGCACGGGTCTTGGCACTGCCTCCTATGCACGGGTCTTGGCACTGCCTCCTATGCACGGGTCTTGGCACTGCCTCCTATGCACGGGTCTTGGCACTGCCTCCTATGCACGGGTCTTGGCACTGCCTCCTATGCACGGGTCTTGGCACTGCCTCCTATGCACGGGTCTTGGCACTGCCTCCTATGCACGGGTCTTGGCACTGCCTCCTATGCACGGGTCTTGGCACTGCCTCCTATGCACGGGTCTTGGCACTGCCTCCTATGCACGGGTCTTGGCACTGCCTCCTATGCACGGGTCTTGGCACTGCCTCCTATGCACGGGTCTTGGCACTGCCTCCTATGCACGGGTCTTGGCACTGCCTCCTATGCACGGGTCTTGGCACTGCCTCCTATGCACGGGTCTTGGCACTGCCTCCTATGCACGGGTCTTGGCACTGCCTCCTATGCACGGGTCTTGGCACTGCCTCCTATGCACGGGTCTTGGCACTGCCTCCTATGCACGGGTCTTGGCACTGCCTCCTATGCACGGGTCTTGGCACTGCCTCCTATGCACGGGTCTTGGCACTGCCTCCTATGCACGGGTCTTGGCACTGCCTCCTATGCACGGGTCTTGGCACTGCCTCCTATGCACGGGTCTTGGCACTGCCTCCTATGCACGGGTCTTGGCACTGCCTCCTATGCACGGGTCTTGGCACTGCCTCCTATGCACGGGTCTTGGCACTGCCTCCTATGCACGGGTCTTGGCACTGCCTCCTATGCACGGGTCTTGGCACTGCCTCCTATGCACGGGTCTTGGCACTGCCTCCTATGCACGGGTCTTGGCACTGCCTCCTATGCACGGGTCTTGGCACTGCCTCCTATGCACGGGTCTTGGCACTGCCTCCTATGCACGGGTCTTGGCACTGCCTCCTATGCACGGGTCTTGGCACTGCCTCCTATGCACGGGTCTTGGCACTGCCTCCTATGCACGGGTCTTGGCACTGCCTCCTATGCACGGGTCTTGGCACTGCCTCCTATGCACG